TTTTTTTTTTTTTTTTTTGATCTTGAAATAGATCATGGAGATAATTAAGCAGCTTTTTTTTGTAATTAATTATATCGTGCATCGATACAATCCTTGTCAGTGTTTGAAAATTTATTCTCTATTATTTCATTATATTTTCAGCGCCGCTGCTGAAATTGATTTTATTTACTTCTACTTCGTTTACATTTAATAAGTAAATTCAAATATTAAACGAAAATTGGAAATCCTTAATCATTTAAGGATTGATATTGGCACTATATAAAGGAAATTCCAGGGATTCTTTCGTCTTTTATCTTCAGGTTCTATGATTCTATGAAATTTAAAGAAATTGGAATATTATAATCTGGTTGGTCTTGATGTTTTAACTTCTTGGTATCCGAACATGAGTTTAGGTTTCAAAATACCATTCAACGGTTTCGTAATACCACGATTTCAAAAAATTATTACATCTATCAGAGAGGACTAATCAAACTCGTGTTTTTTTTTTTTTTTTTCTAATAAAATTCGTTCTTCCCTCTATTTTTGCACAAAATTTACTGTTCGCGCGCCTATTGTAATAAGCGTTAGCACCTTCGAACGAGAACTCACGAGCTGCAGGCAATAACGTTTCCAAAAGAGAAGATTGCCACACGTCCAAACACGATAGACGAAGGAAGATGATGCAGAAACAACGGATATTGAGTTCATCCTCTCTCTCTCTTTCTTTCTTTTTCTCTATCTTTTTCATTTTATTCTCTCTTCAACGGGAGGTCCACGCAATGCGACTTGCCGGTGCCCGCAACTCGTTCGAACGTTCGTGGGTTCCAGATGGCAGCAGCGGCTGCAGAAGGTCGAGAAGATATCGTTGCTGATCCGTTCCCCTTTTCTTCTCCGCCTTTTCTTGATAATCGCGAAACCTGATATCACGATCCTCGAGTCGCTGTAGTATCGTCATATGTTTCACACCTTTTTACTGTATATATTTTAATTAATACCGTGTAACCGACGACAAATTCGACAAAATCGTTTCGAATCTTGAACGAGGGTTCCTTCAAGCGTCCTCAATATGATTTTCAATCACTTCGATTCGACCTATCGGCGTGAGATGTTAAAGAAAATTAAAGAAAGTCCGAGTCGTGCTTGTCCCGAAAGCTCGAAACTTTCGAGACGATCGAGATCCTCAAGATTTTTCCAAGATTCTCCAACACGATCGAGAATATCGGGAAGACTCTGCGAATTTCTAGTTTCCGAACACGCTCGAAGTGTGAGTCTTCCCCGCACAAATTCTCGGGCTTTCAATTTTCGAACAAGATGAAATTCCAACGAACACGTGGCCGAGTTGTGCACATTGTGCAACGAACGAAACTTTGAACGATAAACGACACCAAACTATCATTAAAATCTAGAAGAATCTCTAATTTAAAGAGTTGAAAATCATACAAGTCCTAATTCTTTAAATTAAAATTTGAGTTAATAATGTTCGAAGGCTCTATATTTAACTTCATCTGTTACTAAAAAATGGCGGATACTTATTCTATCATTTTTTTTTTTTCAAACACTTGAAATGTTTTATAAAAAATACAATACAAGCATCTATTTGAAATTCCTCGTGCTGATTTATGTTATTTCTCAGAAGACTAAGTTCAACTCGAAACGAGGATCGGTGTTCCCCGACGTTTTTCTCCTCGTGTCAGCATCTACGACGATGTCCCCAGTCCATTACTGGGGAAACGCTTGGCGTTTTAAAAATTGATAAATTGATAGATTCACGGGACTCGTCGGTGCCGGGAATGACGAATGCGCGATGCGTAAGCCATACGCGCTCGCCTATCGGTGAAAAATGCCGCGTAATAACGAAACGAATGATCGTGTTTGAATAGAGTGGCGAAAAAGCGAGGAATTGCTACGTGAAAGGACCACGCGTCAACCGTACCCTTCCGTTTTTCCACGGTCGTACATTACTTTAATGTTTTAATATCGTGTCGGCGCGGCCATTCGTGCAACGTGGTGTCCGGGTCGTTATCGATGCATTTCCCTCCGTCCATCACCCTTTGTCCGTAGCCTTCTTTCGACTACTTCCTCGTAAACTTTCGTGTCTATCGCGAGAAGGAACCGTCTCGCCAATCA